GAGACCAAGAGGTGAACAAGGTGGGCACAGACAGCACTGACATGGTGTCTTTTCAGTAAATGAACTGTAACAGTATGACCCTGATGCTGGGGAAGATTGAGGGCAGGAGGAGAAGGGAGCGACAGAGGGTGTGATGGTTGGATGGCATCATCCACTCAATGGACAGGAATTTGAGCAAACTCTGGGAGATGGTGAAGAACAGGGAAGCCTGGCGTACTGCACTTCATGGGGTCACAGAGTCGGACATGACTTAGCGACCAAACAACAACAATTTGACCAGCAAATAAAACCTGCTGCCTGGGGATGTGGGACAGTCTTTGGTATTTCAAAATCTCGTTGCGGGCCTTTACTTTGTTTCCTCTGGACAATAGTGAATCATCTTGCGGCACAAGAGTGAGTTCTGCCCTTTGTCGCTGGGTGTCTGGGAAATCCATGGTGTAGAATGGGCGGGACCCTTTCTTGTCTCCTGGAGGCTTGGCTCACAAGGGCACTACTTCTGGTGCCCAGCCATGATGGAAAGGGACTATCCTGACTCCCCACAGTCTATATTCTAGGGCAGACATTTGTTTATTGTGACTTTTTGGTAAGACTATGAAATAATTAAGAAGCTTTAAGATTTTTCAAATTTTTATTTTCATAGACAGCTGGGGTAACATGTGAGCTAAGAATTTATCTTTTCATGTTCATTTCATCTGAAAACAAAAATAGAAATGAGTAAGTATATTATGTAAATCCAGACTGATTTTTTGACTGTCTCTGTATTGACTTTGTTTAAAAATATGGATGGTAACCTGGCAGCATGTTAATGGGCAGAAACATTGAACTGCTGCCATTTTGGCAGTCCCTAAGAAGAAACCAAGTGATAACTAAGTTTTCCCTTTTCTTGTGGAGCATGGTTACACAACAGTTACATTATTCTGCCAGCGAAGTAGCACTGTCTCTAGCCCCAGGAGAATTATAGCACATCTGGAAGCTGCGTTCTAGTGTTGTCCATGGAAGCGTTGCAGAACTTTCTAGTAATCAAACACAAATCCCCAAAGTGGGGTTCCCATTATTATTATTATTTAACTCTTGGAAATTAAAGAGAGAGAAAAATCTGTGCAGGAAACGTTTTTCATCTGTGGGTTAAGCAATACTCCAGAGAAAGCTGTATGCTACAAGGTGTGTGTTTTAGTCAGAATTCTTGGCTCCCAGGGACTGTAACCCAGCTGAGACCAGTTTAACCAAACAAGGAGGTTTTGTGTGTTTTTGACAGATCCTGGTATAACTCACAGAACCAGAGGAGATGTAGTAGGAACAGGGCCTACTGGGAATTGGGCCCAGGTCCTTGAAGCAGATCATCATCTCTAGTCTCTGTCCACCTCCCGTTTCTGTGTGTGTCCACACACCCAGCTGTATTTTCTCAGACAACTCCACCAGCTGCTTTCTCCGTGGCCAGAAGGGTGGGTTTTGTGACTGTCCGCAGCAGGATGATATGAAGTTGGAGGAGGAGCATATTCTTAGAAGACGGGTGGGGGAGGTCCCTTTTCCTCTTGTTAAACGTGGCCACGTTTAGCAAGAGGAAAAGGGACCTCAGGTCTGAAAGATGCACTGGATTGGGTTATATTTTGACAACTTCCTAAAACTACATAGAATTAGATATTCCTAGGGAATGTTAAAATTTTTTTTAAAAAGACACGTATACACACACACATATATACTTACATATTTTTTGCAGATGTCCATGGCATGTTAAATGAAAAAAAAAACAAAACAGGTTATTAAATGGTTTATAGTAGGTTCTATTTCCATAAAAATAAACCAGCCAGCTCCTATATGTGTGCATATGTCTGTGTGTCTGCATTTAGTAAGGAGAAAGGCAGGGAAGGACACAAAGGCTGGTTGAGAGTAGGGATGGGGTGGAGTGGGGAGATGATCAGCTTTGCCTTTATGTATCATGTACTGTGTCCTTTCACTTGTTAAAATAAGCCTGTATTGTGCTTGTAATTTGAGAAGCATTAATTAAGGAAAAGAAGAGGAGCCTATTCCGACTGACCTCAGGAGAGTGGATGCAGGGACTGAGGTGGTCATGTCATCTCTTGAGTTTTTTTTCGACCATGCCTCACACTTGTGGGATCTTATTTCCCTGACCAGGGATTGAACCCTTGGCAGGGTTCAGATAGGGTCGAGACCCTTGGCAGTGAGATCGCAGAGTCCTAGCCACTGGGAATTCCCTGGGAGTCATGTCATCTGAGGCTGGAAGTCCAGGGCATCCACTCTTCCCAGACTCCCGGGCTGGGAAGCACAGCAGAGGATGTGGCGAACCAGCCCCTCCTGGAGCGGCAGCAAACGGCAGAGCTGAGGTCCTGACAAGGGAACCGGTGATGTGTGACCATGTGAGGTGCTGAAGATCCAGCTGATGATAGCAGCTGCCACTTGCAGCCAGCCCTGCCATTTCCTGGGTGCCTGCACTGTGCTGGGTGCGCCACACACACCTTAGCATGTGATTCTCAACAGTTCAGGGGGCTGCTTTCAGTCACAGCTGATAGCTGAGACTCAGGAGAAATGGTATGCCTCAGGGCTCACTGCCAGTAAATGGCAGGTTTGGGTTTAGGATCCTTCCCCCAAAACCACAGCCTTCTGAGCAGCAAGCCTTTGTTGACATTTCCCACTCACTAACCAAAGGTGTGGGGCTTCCCTGGTGGCTCAGTGGTAAGGAATCTGCCTACCAATGCAGGGAACTCCGGTTCGATCCCTGGGTGGAGAAGGGAATGACAACCCACTCCAGTATTCTTGCCTGGGAAATCCCGTGGACAGAGGAGCCGGGTAGGCTACAGTCCCTGGGGTTGCAGAGTTGAACACAACTTAGCAACTAAACCAGCACCATCAGCCAAAGGAGTTAGAGTGGCTGTGAATTTAGATGCATGGTCTTTTTTCTTGAGATGGAATTGTTCCATCAGAACAAAATCCTAGTTTTAAAATATTTAATAATCACAGAATGGAAGAATGACTTTAAGGCAAGTGGCATCTGCTACTGGGGGGGCCGTGCCTGTTTCTTACTACCACCTGCTAAGAGCGACTAGGGAGAGGACGGATCTGGTGATTGGGATTCGAGTATGAATCCAGTTTAGGACACTTAGAATTGTAGGTGCTTATGGACCTGGAGCAGAGATGGCCATGGGTGATACTCATTTGCATCTCAGAAAGTTCTTGAATAAGACAGAAAGACAGAAGAAAACCCTAGGTACACGGTGGGTTTTTTTTTTTGAAGGAGATAAAAAACACACATGGAAATAATATGATCTGAATTTTTAAAAATTAGATATAAATTTACCAAATAACAGTCATGTATGGTTATATGGTAGAATTAAGGGTGTTTATTTTCTTCTGAATATTTTTCTCTATGTATTAAGGTTTTTCATAGTGAATAAACATTATTTCTATAATCAGGGGAAATGTTACTTAGAAAATGAAGGCTTCCCCGGTGACTCCATGGTAAAGAATCCACCTGCCAATGCAAAAGACATGGTTCAGTCCCTGGGTTGGGAAGTTCCCACGTGCCAAGGGAAGCTAAGCCCACGCACCACAGCTATTGAGCCTGTGCTCTAGAGCCGGGGAGCTGCGACTCCTGAAGCTGCACGCCCTGGAACCTGTGCTGCATGACAAGAGAGGCCACTGCAATGAAGCCCACGTGCTGCAACAAGGAGTAGCTCCTCCCCTGCCGCTCGCCGCAACTAGAGAAAAGGCCGAGCAGCAACGAAGACCCAGCACAGCCATAAGTAAATAAATACAATTTAAAAAAAAAAGAAAAGGAGAGCTGTTTCTTTAGTGGAAAATGTCCCATCAGGATATGAACAGGAAATGAACAGAGTGTGCATCACTGTCCTGGGAGGTGTGTATGAACAGAAGCTTGGGTTCCCGCATGATTACAAACACATAAACCCAGCTTGTGGCAGTGGACAGACGAGGAGCTTGAGAGAAAGTAAGAAGGCCAGCCATTAAGGGCTGTTTCTAGAAATACCAGAGCCTCCTCAGCCCATCCTCCCCTATAGGCAAGTTTCGGAAATCTGGCTCTGGGACAAGTTGTGCCTGTGGTGTTGTGGCTGAAATTGGTATCAGAGAAGGGTAGGGGACTGAGTGTTTAAAACAGGTCTTCTGAGGCTGCCCCTTGATGCCACAGCTTGTGTTTCAAGCCATTGTTCCTGTTCACAGCATGGAAGGTAGCTTGAGAGAACTTGCTATTAAAGCTACCAGCTGAGCTGTGACTGGTCATCCATTTGCAGAAATGAATGCCTGTCCTGGCTTGAAGTAACTGCTCCTAGTGTCACCTGGCGAGGCTGCTTCCTCTTTCTGGGCCCCAGTTGCCTGGACTGTCAAATAAGGAAACGGGGATGGAGAGTGCATCTCAAGAGTTTCTTCAGCCTCCAAGGTCCGAGGATCCCCAGACCTTTCCAAAGATCTGAGGTTCTTTGGAAAATGGAAATATCTTAGAGGTAGTGATTCAGAGTGGCTTATTATACACTTGAAAGGTGGCTATTGTGATGGAGGGGCTGAATTTTAAATTTTACTACATTTTAATTTAAGTTTATATAACCATATATATAATGTGGCTACCCTATTGGACAGCACAGCTCCTTAACTGGAAGATCTAAGGTGAGCGTTTGGAATGCCTGTATACATTTTTATATATACCTACTTTGAAATTGAAAGAAACTTTCTAATTTCAGAAAAACCATTTGGGTTCCTACAGACAATACAGACAAGAAGAAAAAGAAACTAAAAAATAGTCACGAAAACACCTACTCAATGATGACTGCTCTTGGCACCTTGGTGTTTAACTTTCTAAATTCCCTTCTGTGCTCATGTCTTAGGTAGCCAGCTGGCTTTCAACAGCATAGCTTGAAATCATCCAGGAAGGGATGAGACATGTTAGGAGAGAATGCCTGCTCACTGCCCAGCAGAGAATACTGATAAAGACTTTAGCAATCTGCCCTGGCTGATGTTTCTTTTCTGGGTGCTAGGTTATCAACCCTATGGGCTGGGATGCATTTGGATTGCCTGCCGAAAATGCTGCAATCGAGAGGAATCTACATCCAGAAAGCTGGACGCAAAGGTATGTGTTTACAAGCATATTCAAGTACTTGTATACATTACCCTTAAACAATTTTTTTTTTTAAACTTGTTCATGAGAAATAGAAAGCAAAGGAAACAAAACACTGCAGTCTGCCAAGCAATAAAAAAGGATTGTCTATATTGGTATTTGCTTTTTCTCACACTGCGTTCTTATCTAAGAAATAGCACAGAGTGTTTGGCTATTCATTCATGTGTTCATTTAGATGCTTTGTTATTTACAGTTATTCTTCCTTTGAGTATTTGCATTTAGAAGGAAAAAGGAGGAAGAGAGGATGACATCTGTTAAAGTTCTACAGTGCTCTTCATCTTCTTGACCATAGTTTAAGCCATATCCAAACGCCACCTTATAATTTTCTCTGCAAATTTTAATTTTTTTGGCTTCACCATTCTGAAGCAAAAGGAACACAGATCATCAACAAGGAAATATATGGCCACTTTATTGTAGGTGTGGCTTTCTTTAAGGAGGACATAGCCTGAGTCCCCAGTGGCCTCAGGCTTCCTTGTGCTCAGGCAGTGCTCATCCCTCTTCCTCCTGATAAAGCCTTGAGGAACTTGAACTAGAACCCAGCACAATGCTCTGGGCTCACTCCAGCTCCTTTCATAAAGCCATTCCTCGCCCTACCCCTCGGAGGTGTAGAGAGCAGTTCAAGGCCTATCCCCATTGTCTTTCGCCTTCCTTGGCTTAATCTTTGCCCAAAAGAAACATCTTCTGCACCATCTACTTCTCTTTTTCCTTCCTCATCCCTGGTTTCCACTTTTCCAATTATGGTTAATTCTGAAGTAGTAGGAGTGATGAAAAAAGGAGGAAATGATGATTCAAATAAAAAGGGTTAAATATGGTATAAATTTGATATCACCCAGGAGAGTAATTGGCAAATTCTGTAGGCTAAATTTGGCCCTGCCTGATGGGGCTTCCCTGGTGGCTCAGAGGGTAAAGAATCCGCCTGTAATGCAGGAGACCCCAGTTCAATTTCTGGGTTGGGAAGATCCCCTGGAGAAGGGAAAGGCTACACACTCCAGTATTCTGGCCTGGAGAATTGCACGGATTGTATAGTCCATGGAGTGGCAAAGAGTTGGATGTGACTGAACGACTTTCACAAAAGATTTTATAAACAAAGTTTTATTAGAACTCAAGCCACACCCATTTGTTTCTATATTGTTCATGGCTGCTTTCATGATACAGTGGCAGAACTGAGTAGTTGTGACAGAGACCGTATGGCTCATATGGAGCTGGAAACTTTTGCCATCTGGGCCTTTACAGACAAAGTTTGCCAGCTTCTCCACAAGAGCATAGCAGTAAAGAAGACGGCCCCAGAATCAGGCCACATAGGTACAAATCCTGCCTTTCTTTCTTCCTAGCCATTCACCTTGAGCAGATTACTTAACCTCTCTGCCCCTCAGGTTATTTATCTGTAAAGGAGGATAATGATTAAGCACTGTCTTAGTCAACTGCTATAAAAAGCAAAAATAACATCCAGTTGTGGATGGGACTGGTGGTAGAAGCAAGGTCTGATGTTGTAAAGAGCAATATTGCATAGGAACCTGGAATGTCAGGTCCGTGAATCAAGGCAAATTGGAAGTGGTCAAACAGGAGATGAACGTTGACATTCTAGGAATCAGCAAACTAAAATGGACTGGAATGGGTGAATCTAACTCAGATGACCATTTTATCTACTACTGTGGGCAGGAATCCCTTAGAAAAAATGGAGTAGCCCTCATAGTCAACAGAAGAGTCCAAAATGCAGCACTTGGAGGCAATCTCAAAAACGACAGAATGATCTTTTTGTTTCCAAAGCAAACCATTCCATATCATGGTAATCCAAGCCTTTACCCTGACCAGTAATTCTGAAGAAGCTGAAATTGAACGGTTCTATGAAGACCTACAAGACCTTTTAGAACTAACACACAAAAAAGATGTCCTTTTCATTGTAGGGAACTGGAATGCAAAAGTAGGAAGTCAAGAAACATCTGGAGTAACAGGTAAATTTGGCCTCGAAGTACAGAATGAAGCAGGGCAAAGGCTAATAGAGTTTTGCCAAGAGAATGCACTGGTCATAGCAAACACCCTCTTCCAACAACACAAGAGAAGACTCTACACATGGACATCATCAGATGGTCAACACCGAAATCAGATTGATTGTATTCTTTTCAGCCAAAGATGGAGAAGCTCTATACAGTCAGCAAAAACAAGACTGGGAGCTGACTGTGGCTCAGATAGTGAACTCCTTATTGCCAAATTCAGACTTAAATTGAAGAAAGTGGGGAAAACCACTAGACTATTCAAGTATGACCTAAATCAAATCCGTTATGATTATACAGTGGAAGTGAGAAATAGATTTAAGGGACTAGATCTGATAGACAGAGTACCTGATGAGGTATGGATGGAGGTTCATGACACTGTACAGGAAACAGGGATCAAGACCATCCCCAAGAAAAAGAAATGCAAAAAAGCAAAATGGCTGGCTGAGGAGGCCTTACAAATAGCTGGGAAAAGAAGAGAAACAAAAAGGAAAGATATACCCATTTGAATGCAGAGTTCCAAAGAATGGCAAGAAGAGATGAGAAAGCCTTCCTCAGTGATCAGTGCAAAGAAATAGAGGAAAATAATAGGATGGGAAAGACTAAAGAGCTCTTTAAGAAAATTAGAGATACCAAGGGAACATTTCATGCAAAGATGGGCTCAATAAAGGACAGAAATAGTATGGACCTAACAGAAGCAGAAGATATTAAGAAGAGGTGGCAAGAATACACAGAAGAACTGTACAAAAAAGATTTTCATGACCCAGATATACATGATGGTGTGATCACTCACCTAGAGCCAGACATCCTCGAATGCAAAGTCAAGTGGGCCTTAGGAAGCATCACTATGAACAAAGCTAGTAGAGGTGACAGAATTCCAGTTGAGCTAATTCAAATCCTAAAAGATGATGCTGTGAAAGTGCTGCACTCAATATGCCAGCAAATTTGGAAAACTCATCAGTGGCTGCAGAACTGGAAAAGGTCAGTTTTCATTCCAATCCCAAAGAAAGGCAGTGCCAAAGAATGGTCAAACTACTGCACAGTTGCATCTTACACACTAGTAAAGTAATGCTCAAAATTCTCCAAGCCAGGCTTCAGCAATACGTGAACTTCCAGATGTTCAAGCTGGTTTTAGAAAAGGCAGAGGAACCAGAAATCGAATTGCCAAGATCCACTGGATCATCAAAAAAGCAAGAGAGTTCCAGAAAAACATCTATTTCTGCTTTATTGACTATGCCAAAGCTTTTGACTGTGTGGATCACAATAAACTGTGGAAAATTCTGAAAGAGATGGGAATACCAGACCAGCTGACCTGCTTCTTGAGAAACCTGTATGCCGGTCAGGAAGCAACAGTTAGAACTGGACATGGAACAACAGACTGGTTACAAATAGGGAAAGGAGTACATCAAACCTGTATATTGTCACCCTGCTTATTTAATTTATATGCAGAGTATATCATGAGAAATGCTGGGCTGGATGAAGCACAAGCTGGAATTAAGATTGCCAGGAGAAATATCAATAACCTCAGATATGCAGATGACACTACCATTATGGCAGAAAGTGAAGAACTAAAGAGCCTCTTGATGAAAGTGAAAGAGGAGAGTGAAAAAGTTGGCTTAAAACTCAACATTCAGAAAACTAAGATCATGGCATCTGGTCCCATCACTTCATGGCAAATAGATGGGGAAACAGTGGAAACAGTGATAGACTTTTATTTTAGGGGGCTCCAAAATCACTGCAGATGGTGATAGCAGCCGTAAAATTAAAAGACGCTTACTCCTTGGAAGGAAAGTTATGACCAACCTAGACAGCATATTAAAAAGCAGAGACATTACTTTGCCAACAAAGGCCCACCTAGTCAAGGCTATGGTTTTTCCAGTGGTCATGTATGAATCCCCTGTGGAGACCCTAGAGAAAGTCCTAGGTCCCCACCTCATCTCGACAGGAGGCCTCACATCCCTTTGACACCTCGAGAGGCACGCGGAGTTCAATGCTTCAAAAGGTGACGATGCCTGACTCCTCTTGAACATTGATAGGAATCCCAATATCCCTGTGGCTACTGGGATGTGAGAGTTGGACTATAAAGAAAGCTGAGCACCGAAGAATTAATGCTTTTGAATTGTGGTGTTGGAGAAGACTCTTGAGAGTCCCTTGAACTGCAAGGAGATCCAACCAGTCCATCCTAAAGGAGATCAGTCCTGAATATCCATTGGAAAGACTGATGTTGAAGCTGAAACTCCAATACTTTGGCCACCTGATGTGAAGAACTGACTCATTTGAAAAGACCCTGATGCTGGGGAAGATTGAAGGCGGGAGGAGAAGGGGACGACAGAGGGAGAGTTGGTTGAATGGCATCACTGACTCAATGAACATGAGTTTGAGTAAACTCCGGGAGTTGGTGATGGACAGGGAGGCCTTGCATGCTATAGTCCATGGGGTCACAAAGAGTCTGTCATGACTGAGCTACTGAACTGAACTGATTGTTAGCTAATCAGAGATCACCTAGGGAACTTCATGGTTTTTCATATTTTCAGTCTGCTTGAAGTCAAAGGGTACACGGTAGAAATGAATTAGTCATACAAAAAAAAAGAGAACCTGAAGATTATCATCTTTACTGAAGTAAGATAGACAAATATCATGAGATCACTTATGTGTGGAATCTTAAAAAATGATACAAATGAACTTGTTTAAAAAACAGACATAGAAAACAAATCTGTGGTTTCGTAGTGGTAGTGTTAGTCATTCAGTTGTGTCCTTCTCTTTGTGACCCCATGGCCCTGTAGCCCTCCAGGCTCCTCTGTCCATGGGATTCTCCAGGCAGAAATACTGGAGTGGATTGCCATTCCCTTCTCCAGAGCATCTTCCCAACCCAGAGATAGAACCTAGGTCTCCTGCATTGCAGGCAGGTTCTTTACCGTTAGAGCTATAGTGAAGACCTTTACAGGGGAGGGCAGGGGGGAATAAATTAGAGGTTTGGGATTAACATATATTTATTACTGTATATAAAATAGATAAGCAACAAGGACCTACTGTATAGCACAGGGAACTATACTCGATGTCTTATGATAACCTATTATGGAAAATAATCTGAAAAATATGTATGTATGACTGAATCACTTTCCTATATGCCTAAAACTAATACAACAGTGTAAATTATACTTCAATAAAAAAAGGTTACAATGTCTTTAATTTAAAAATTGTATAGAGAAAGCAATATTTCCTATTTTCTTATTTCATGCTAAAATTAGTTTGTATACTTCTCTCCTCTTTTCCAGTTGTTTGAGAGTTTCAGTTTTCAGGTTTTGATTGACAAAGCTCTGTGTGATTTCTCCTGGATTTCTGAAATTTTTATGTTAAAATTTTTTTTCAGCTGCTTTTAAATCTGTAAATGCTTGGCCTAAATTTGTGCAGGATCCAGGCATATGGATGTGCCAGGCATGCACAAATCAAAAGGGTTGCCTTTCTGAATGGCCAGGGAAAAGGCCAGTCCCCAGGAGCAAAGACTGTCATGGTTTTTAGTAGATTTTGCAAGCGTCCAAAGAATAGCTATCTTCTACTAGGCAGATATTTTAGTTGGTTCTTAGTGATTAACTTCTTTTTTATTTTTTGGCTAGAGCAAAACAACACTTAAAGCCCTTTGAATCATCTAGACTTTTCCAGTCTCCTTTTCACAATCTCACAGTGTACTTTGCTTATGGCTTGTCCTGTTTCTAAAATCCAAACCCTCTTCCCTTTGTTTCACAGTAATATCAGACACATGAGGAAACAGCTTGATCAACTGGGCCTGTGTTTCAGCTGGGACAGGGTAAGTCACCTCTTTCCCAGAAGGTCTTTATTTTAACCACAGTCCTGAGTGAACAGGGGACTGTGCTCATTTACTTTATCTTTCTTCTCTTCACGTCAAGAGGAGGGAAAGGAGGGTGGCAGAAAACAGGCAGGAAGGATTAGCACTTCACAAATGAAAAAGTATCCCCAGTGGATAATTTGTCTGCAGACAAGCAATTTTCTGAGGGATTAAGCTAAGAGAGTTAACTTATTTAACCTCCCAGTTGGCTGTGATTTATATATGTGGAAAAAGCTCTGCACAAGGATTGCTCCTGTTGTCAGCAATAGTTTAAAAAGACTATTGAAATCTATGTAAGTGATTAAATATCAACCCATGTGGTCCCTTTAGGTGATTAGGTGGAGGTCAATGGATCATTTATCTCTTTTGTCCCACGTTTGGAATTGAGGTTCATGATAAATAGCCTTTTAGTATAAAGTGCGTTCAAACTGTGTATTAAAACCCTGGAGAATTCCAGACCTGGGAGGAGTTCAACACCCAGGCTAAATGCAGCTGAACCCTTCAAAGCAGTGGCCAGTAATTAGCCTCCAATTAAAATAAATTAATTAATTTTTTAAAAAGATGTAAAAAAAAAAAAAAAAGCAGTGGTCAAAGAACCCCAGTTAGACACTGATGCGTGGTCTGTTAAGTAAGGTGGACTCCTGCTCATCCTCTCCATGAAGCAATACTGTGATCATTTTTAGCTTCCTATTTACTTCACAAAATGCTTTTCATTGCTGGGTCAGTCAAGTTCAGGTTCACATCCTTTTTACTCATGAGAAGCGCCTGGGAAAAACTGAAATATGATTGTCTTCTCCTCCCCCATGATTTTTTAAAGATTGCATTTTGATGAGTACAGTGAAAAAGAGTGAAAATCAAACACATTTAAACAGTCCCTGCTTTTGTCTTTTTTTTTTTTTCCAGCTTCTTTAGATGAGTTCATGGGCTGAATTAAGTTCTTATTGTAGCACTGATGCCATTTTTATCACTAACTTGCAAGGTCACCAGGGTTTTGTTTGGTGGAGGTGTGAAAAACTCCTGGTGCCTGACTCAGCTTGTCCGGAGGAGCCAGTGGGGAAGTGCTGGAGAGAATCAAACATATTCTACTGTGGAGAGAATTGAGTAATGCCCTGAGTGCTCCAGAGATGCGTTGGTAGATTGCTTGAGGGCAGAGATGGGCTTGTTAACCCTCTAGGATGAGAACTAGGCTAGTCCTACACAGGAACAGCAACCATAAATGGTTCAAAAATTAATGGGTTGTTTTCCAGATTATCATAGAAGATTAGAAAACACCGAAAAGTATAAAGAAGAACATAAGTCAGTGTGATTCATTCAACATCATTGTATGGTTCCTTGTAGTCGTTTTTTTCTGGAATTATAAATATCTATATAATTTACTTTTGCAAAATAGAATTCATAAATCATGTTTTTTGTTTTTTTTTTTAACCTGCTATTCATGAACATTTTTCCAGTTTATTAAATAGTCTTTGGGAAAAGTGACTTTTTATAGCTATACAGCTTTCCATCTTATGAATATATTGTAATTTATGTAACCTGCCCCTTGTGTGTGTGCTCAGTCATGTCTGACCCCTGGCAACCCCATAGACTATAGCCCTCCAGGCTCCTCTGTCCATGGGATTTCCCAGGCAAGAATATTCAAGTGAATTGCCATTTCCTACTCCAGGGTATCTTCCCGACCCAGGGATTGAACCTACATCTCCTGCATTGGCAGGTGGATTATCATACATTTAGATATATTCTAATGTTTGTCTATTGTAAGTACAACTTCTCAATCCCTCTTGTAAAAATCTGAAGTCCAGAAAGCTCTAAAATTGGAAAGTTTTTTCACAATTCATTTGACTGCAAAACCTGACCTAAACTGATATTTATCTCACTTATAATGAATATTCATATATGTTTTACTCTAGGAATAGTACAGTGATTGATTACCAGGTGCTCTCCCAGACCTAGTTAGGTAAATATACTGTTGTCTCTTAACATCCAGAAAGTTCTTAGTTCTGAAGCACAGTTTGACCACAGGTGTTTCAAATAAGGGATTTTGAGCCTGGAAGTGCAGGATTATAGATGAATATCACCACTCCTGCTATCACTGTCTAATAGTTACTGAACAATTCCCATGGGCCAGGCACCCATAATTCTCTCTTGAGATCTCTAGAAATCTCTAAAACGTGGACACTTCTGTTGATTGCATTTTACTGCCTGTCACCCCCCCAACACTTGGAGCAGATACCTTAATGCACATATTTTGTTTCCTTAGTATGAATCCTCAAAAAATCTATGAACAAGTTTAAAGCTTGTGGTACTTGAATTTAAAGATAGTTAAAGGTATAATTTGCTTATGTTACTTTGTTGTTGCCAAATTATCCTCCATAAAGGTCATACATATTTACCCTCCCAAGTTATTAGTTATTTTCATCTGTACTTCTTTTATTACTAGTGATAGTGAGTTTTTTTCATGCTTTTAATGAATGTTTGAATTGGCAGGGTGTTGTGTGGAAATGATCTAACCATGTCTTTTGTCCATACAGGTAGATGGTGTTTGTCCTTACAAATATTTTCCCCCAATTTATCATTTGATTTGCATGCTTCCAGATGGTGCAGGTGGTAAAGAACCTACCTACCAATGCTGGAGACTTAAGAGGCATGGGTTCAATCCCTGGGTTGGGAAAATCCCTTGGAGGAGGGCATGGCAACCCACCCCAGTATTCTTGCCTGGAGAATCCCATGGACAGAGGAGCCTGGTGGGCTACAACTCCATAGTGTCTCAAAGAGTCAAACTAGACTGAGGTGACTTAGCATGCATGGGATTATTATTAGCACACAAATATTTTCTTGAAAAGGCCTTTCAGACAGATAAATACATTTATATCTCAATTAATTGTTAATTTTTGCACTTAACTGGAATTCAGTTAAGGAATTCCTACTTTTTCTGAATAACCAGTTGTTTCTTTTATTTTCAAACAGTCTTCCTCATTGATTTGAAAGGTTACCTTTATTATAGTCATGATCTTTTACACTATTATTACACACTTAGGTTCTGTTTCTGTTCATTTGATCCATTGATTACTATGTCATTACTGAACTATTTTTAGTTATACTTGCTTTATAATTGGCTTTAATATCTGGTAACAGAGGTTTTTTATTGTTTGATGTTGATAGCGCTATCCCTACTATCTTGTGTTTTTGTTTTCTTGATGTATTCTGCCCATTTAAAAGCATTTTTATCCTTTAGTTGTTGGATTCTTTTGATGCACCACTTATGTATACAGTTAATTTAAAAAATTAAAAGATGGACAAAGCATATGAGAAAAACCATCTTTTGGCTAATCTAGAGCCTTTCACAGTGAAGTGTAAGCTATTTGTATTTATTTTTGTATCAATTCTTTATTCTTACACACCATACCCTTAAGTGTCTTTTTTTTTTAATGTGTTCAGCAGTATCAACATAAAAAATAGAACAGTATGTATGTTTTTGCTTCCCATGTAAGGTAAGGAGATGAGCTGGTAGATACACTTTCCATTTTCTAAATCTGTTTTCCAGAGGCTTTTGGGGTATATTCTGAGATTTGGGGCCTAACTTCTTATTCTTGTAATTTTTCTTATCACGTATCACTTCTTAGCATAGAAATGTAGATATTTGCTTTTGGTTTTAAAATCATATCCATAACAATTACTGAAACCGAATGACCCTTAGCTAGTTTCAGTGCTCATCCGTAGGCCTTATAGAGCGTGATTGCCCATTTGCAAAATCTAGATTTGTGAAAAAATGTTTAGATATTTTAGCTCTTGCTTTGAATCTTCTGATGTTGCATACTATTTTCATAACAGAGAATGACTTTTCATTGCTTTCACCTATGAGCAGCAACTTACTGGGGTATATATAATTCTTTTTTCTTTCAAATTTCTTTAGTAGACCTTGATCCTTGACCTACTGTCTTAAAAATTACAGACGCACAGGAATTTGCTGAGATAGTATAGAGAGACCCTGTGAATCCTGCACCGGCTTTTCCCAGTGATATCACTTCAAACAACTGCAGTGTAATATCAAAACCAAGAAATTAACATTGGCATAATGCTATTAACTAGAGTACAAATCTTATTCAGATTTCACCGGTTTTTATATGTACACACAGTGTGTGTACCTATGTGTGTATGTATGGGGAGGAGGAGGAATTCTATGCAATTTTATCACATGTCGATTTATGGAACCACTACCATCTGCCCATTGTCTGCTGGTAGAGAAGTCTCAGTCCAGCCCGGACCATCTCTTTGTCACATAGAGATCTTTCTGCTCTCGTTTTGGTGCTCCAAAACTTGGACTCCTTTTGTCCCTGCCTTTGCCAGAGGCAGTTTGTTAAAAGTCTCCTCAGGGTGTATCTTCCCTCCTTTCACTTTTAATTTGCCCGTTCTTACTGCCCATGTTTGATCTGTGGTGTGAGTCTTTCCTTCTGGCAGTTTTCGAGACTCTCGAGAGCACCGACTCTTCACTGTCTTTCGTTGTTTTCACCACCTCTCTCATGATTTTGGTCCCTTTGTTCTCCTCTACCTTTTGGGAGAACGTCTCCTGTTTGCTTTCCACATCACTGATTCCATTCCTATTGAAGCAGGGCTGCTTTGTGTCGTTTCTAATGCCAGTAATAATTCTGCTATTGTATTTTTAGATTAATTCTCAGTTTTCCTCATCTCATTCAGTTCCCATCCTCTTTCTCAAGCCTCTTGGCCAGATACATTTCTTTTCTTCCTATTTTGCTATCTTGTCTCCTTTCACAGACCACATATGTTCAGAAAATTTCTTGAGAATACAAGGCGATGCTCTTGAAAAGTTATCTTTTGCTTCTTTTAAATAAACCTTTTCACAAGTTTGAAATGCTATGCTCTCCTTGTTTGTTTCAGAACCTTTTCATGGACCCCTGGTGGATTTTTCCGCCTGTTTCCTGAGTGAGGTGGACTAGTGTATCAGT